CTCATACACAACATGCAATTCACATGCTTAACATGTGTATCATGTGTTTCACATGCATTTTATGCATTATGCATGCACAACATGCATCTCACATGCTTACCATGCATCTCACATGCTTAACATGTGTGTCATGTGTATCATGTGTTTCACATGCATTTTCTGCATTTTGCATGCACAACATGCATCTCACATGCATAACATGCATCTCACACACATAACATGTGTGTCATGTGTTTCACATGCATTTTATGCATTGGGAGCATGGCAACCTCATACTATGCATTAAATGCACATCATGAATTCTACGCGTTCTCGTTGCATCCCCGCGGACATCGCGATCATCCGCGGATAATCGCGACCTCCCCGCGGTGAGGAGTAGGTGGTCCGCGGGAGATCGTGATTATCTGCGTACATGCGGACATCAGGATCTCCCGCGGACATTGCGATGATCCTCGGAGATCGCGGCCGGCGACTCATCCCCCTAGTTAAACTTGTTCTACTCGTTTTTGTTGCATCCCCTGAGGGAGGGCAAGGGAGCAATGAGCAGTCAAACAAAAAAGATGTCGTTCTGGTCTAATGAGCCTCTGTATGAGGCTGGAGCCTATGCCATCTTAAAGCCCATGGTCTGTTGGCCCTTGATATATGTTGCAAGGTCTCCAGCTATCAAGGCAAGCTAGAAATAAGGTAATCAATGAACATCACCAAGCGACGAGTTTCTGGCCCAAGGAGCCGTCGTACGAGGCTGGAATATACGCTATCTTAAAGCCCATGGTCTGTTGCACCGAGATATTTATTGCGAGGTCTCCATTTATCAAGGTATGCGAGGACAGAATTGATTGTGTTTTTGGCTCAATGAGCCCTCGTACAAGGCTAAGAGGTATGCCATCTTAAAGCCGACGGTCTGTTGCGCTTAGATATTTGGTGCGACGTCTCCAGCTGTCAAGGCAAGTGAGAAAAATGGATATCATTAACTTACTAAGTTGTTTGGTACCTGACCCTACAAGGAGGCAATGCTGTCTTTAAGTCCAGCATCTGTTAACCAGCCTGGTGGCTGATTGTGTGGCCTCCAGCCATCACACCAAGCAAGTAAACAACTCACCATGCACATGCCTGGCAACCTATGGCTTTCTCCTTTTGAAAGCATATGTGCACCAAGGTGGCCAACTGTCTCCACAACAGTTGGCTGGTGCTTGGCCAGGTCTGGCTGGCTTACTGAGTAAGTACCTGCAATTTTAATTTTATCCATTAAATTTTCCTTTTTTTAATGGGTGTTCATTGTGGCTTACTTCTGTCCTCCTCCAGAGGCCAAAAAGGAACTGTTTAACTAACTGGCATTCACTGCTCCACATCCATGTCAGCCTCCTTCTTCTCAGTTGGCTCAGCAGTTTCCTCCTTAGGGGCACTTTCTTCCTTTTTGGGCTCTTCCTTGGGCGCAGGGGCAGCAGGCTTGGGCTTCGGTTTGTTCATGATGGTCGAGACAAAGGTGTCCAAGTTCTGCCACCACGAGAGTGACAAGAGTGAGAGGAGGTGCGGCGTGTCGTAGGTTGGGGGGGAAGGCGCATGCTTGTTGTACCTCCTTGGTGTGAGTGATGTCAGCAACCCAGATGATAGGGTCGGCGGTGGAGGGAAGCGTCTTCTGCTGCTCTGCCTTTGGCAGCACGCTGTCCTCGGCTTCCTTGACCTTGTTGAGTACCTTCTGGCGTTCCTCCTGAGGGATGTGCTCGTACTTGGGGTCCTGCATCCCCTTCCTTGTGTAAGCAGCCGACTCAGCTCAGCAAAGCAGCAAACGTACGGTTGACTGAGCGAGAAGGCGGTAGTTCTCCATGGCCTGGCGGAGCTTTTCGATGGCATCGTCACGATCCTCAGCCTCTCGTCGCCTAATACGGATGGGCTCACCGACCTTCTTCAGCTGCGCCAGCTTTTCCTGGTAGGCCTGCTTTGTCGCCTGGGCACCTTCGCCGTAGAGCCAATCCTCGGCCTCGTTGAGCTGGCTGTAGAAGGCGTCCTTGTCCTAAAGTAGTAAAGCCGATGTGGTCGTGGTCGCGGGGGGAATGGGTTGGCGAAAGGCGCTTTGCGGAGAGGGGGATGGGGGGGGGGGAGCCATACGGCCTCGAGGACGAAGGGAAGAAGGCTGCCGTTCAGGTCGCTGCGCGTGTCGTAGACGTAGGCCTCCACCGCGTTCCTTGCCTCAGCCGTCTCCCGGAGTTCGGTGTCCTTGGCCAGACGCTGCTTTTCCTCGGCGGCGAGGGCCTGTGCACAGCGTGGCGGCGGCGGCGGCGGCGGCGCGCAAGGAGAGGAGAGGGAAAGTCGTGAGCACGTGCCGCGGGAAACGGTGCGGCGCACTCAGCGGCCGAGGGTGGCGATCAGGGTCAAGATGAATGCTTGAATCACAGAGACTCATGGAATACAAACTGTAATGATGGAACATCACATCGCCTCCTCCACGAGGGACGGAAGACTCGGTCGGGCGCAGGGCCGCAACGACGGGAAAGAAAAGAACCCGCGGAGGAGGGTGGTGGCGGTGGTGGTGGGTGGTACTGGGCATCATCATTACCTGGATTTGGGCGGGGGGCATGCCGTCGGTCACCTCCTGGATAAAGAGGTTCGTCCGCTTCGTCGTGATCTTCGCGTCCTCCTTCTTCTCTGCGCTCTTGTTCTTGTGTGAAAGCAGAGAATAATTATTAATAATGGGGCGGGTGAGTCGCTTTTCGCTTGGGCGCCGCCACCCACCCGCCGCAGCCGCCGGAAAGTGTGTTCCGCAGGAGGAGGAGAGGAGGAGGTAGGCGCGCTCAGCCAGCATAGTAGTGGCAGTAGTACCTCGTCACCCTCCTTGGCCTTCTTGTCGTCGTCGTCCTTGGGCGACTGGGCGGCGGCGGCGGCGGCGGCGGCCTCCTTCTTGTCCTCCTCCTTGCTGGCGACCACGTTTTCGATCATTTGTGCGTACTCCACGGAGAAGATACCATTCCCGTCGAGCTTGACCTTGACGCGAACCTGAAATGTACAGATAGAGAGAGAGAGAGATAGGTCAGGTGCTACCACCGCCTCGCATGCAATGGGCCAGCAGCGGCGGCGGCGGCGGCGGTAGGTGGGTGGGTGGGTACCTTGGCCGACTCGCCTGACTCCGTGGGAGGGACGGTGGGGATGACCCACTTGCCGATAAAGGCGGAGGTGCCCGGGGGCAGATCCGCCGTGGGCGCGTAGCTGGCCTTGATCTCGCAGGGCTTGCCTCGCGGGAAGGTGATGATCTTCATGGCCGGCACCACGCAGTTCTTCGGGAAGATTTCCGTGGGCCTGCACACGCACGTGACCCCCCCCCCACAGACGAGAGAGAGAGAGAAGAGGGTGTCAGTTGCGGGTGGGTGGGGGTGGGGCGGAGAGGGGCGGGCATGGGCGTGGTCGACATCAGCCCCCACAAAGGGGGGTAAAGGAGTAATCACGAGAATGATCATGGAATACAAACTGAATAGATAGCCATCATATGCGACGCGCGCACCGCCCCACCAAGATGAAGAACCAGAACAAGAACAGGAAGGGTGGAGGATGGGGGGGGGTCTCGGTTGGACGTGCGGCGGGGAAGGAAAGGGAAAGGGGGGGGATCGTCCACGTACTCTTCGGTCTCCATGGATTCGGAGTCGAGGTCCTTCCAGACGAGGTTGATGGGGTAGGGGTTGCTGTCCTCCACCTTGAACTCGCGCACACGGAAGGTGGGGCTGAGCATAGCGCACTGCAACGCCGCACCTGCCGATCCACGCATGTGGTGCCGCGATGGCGTGCGTCGTGTCGTTGGTCGTTGGTCGTGTCGCAAGTATAGGGCGTCAGCAGAAGGGTCCTCTCTGGCTCAAGCCTCATGACGACAACGATGGCGGGGAGGCGGGAGGGGCAGGTGGGGAGGCGGGAGGCAGGGAGGGGCAGGCGTTACCTCGGGCAACAGACTCTTCGGCGTTCATGGTGCGCGAGAACTCCTTGCCGGTCAGCTTGGAAATGATGGGGGCCAGCTGGGGCATGCGACTGGCACCCCCGACAAGCTCAATCGCGTGCAAGCTGCTGCCGGACAGACCTGGGGGGGAGGGGGACATGGGCGATGAGCGGCGGCACGGAATCGAGCAGCAGCAGCAGCTGTTCTCGTACCAGTCTCCGCGAGAACCTGCTTGAGGGGCTCCTGCAGCCTCTCGAAGAGGGGAGCGCAGAACTGTTCAAAGTCCTCCCTGCGCGCCACACAAGCCGCGCGTGAGCCAAGCACAACACTCCACATGCGACCACAACTTCCTGGCCGGCCCTCGGGCGCACGTGCATCCAAGAGGGGCCATTAATACTAATAAAAAATAATAATAACAATAAAAGAATAACAATATTCATCTTTCGCAGGAAACGACGCGCCTCTATTTGGAGACGCGTCAAGACAAGGGTGTGAAAAATACCTGGTGACCATGGCGCTCACGTCGATGTCCTCCATGAGAGAATCGATGGCGAGGGGTGCCTGCGAGTTGGCGGAGAGAATCTTCTTCACCTTTTCGCAAGCAGTCTGCGCTCACCACCAGCCACCCACCCACCGAGAGGAGGGGAGACGAGATCGAGAGATAAGAGATCATGTTGACGGGCGAACGAGTTGCGGGTGCGCGTGCGAACCTCGAGGCGGATCCAGGCCTTCATGTTGGACTTGACATCGATCTTGTACTTGTCCTGGAAGACCTTGGCGAAGTGGTCGGCCAAAGCCCGGTCAAAATTCCTGCCGCCCAGCGTTCTATCGTAGGCCGTGCTCAATACCTTGGATGGGTGGGTGGGTGGGTGGGGAGAATGGCCGCCGCCATGTCAGCGTCACAACAGAGGGATGACGGTGGTGGGCGTGGGCGTACCCGGAGCTTGCCCTTCTGGAAAGCGACGACGCCCACGCTCATGTGAGAATCGCCAATGTCCACAAACATGACGTGCATGGGGTCGCTCTCGGGGAGATCGGTTTTGTAGATGCCGTAGGCGATCGCGGTGGCGGTGATCTCGTTGACGAGCTTCAGGCAGTTGAGCCCCGCAATCTGCGTAGAGTCGAGCAGAGCTGCGCAGTGCAACCGGACCACCCATTGGGGGGGGGGTGGAGGGGAGCAAGGTGAGACAACAACCATGCGCATTCCACCCAAGGGGGCTCCCCGCCGCCGCTGCCGTGAACGTGATCGGGTGTCGTGCGTCGCGTGCACGCGGGGAGGGGTTGGTTGGTTGGTTGCTGGCGATGTACCTCTCCTCTGCGCGGAGGTGAAGAAGCCGGGGATGGAAATGACGACGTCCTTGACCTTGGTCCTGAGGTAGTTCTCCGAGATAGCCTTCAGCTGCACCAGCACCATGGCCGTCACCTCCTCGGGGGTGAAGGTGACCTGCTCCCCGTTGTAGCTCACCTGCGCGCGCACCACGCCACCACGGCCAACCACAGAACAACAACAACAACAGCAATAATGAGAGGAGAGGTAGAGCCGGTATATTTGTTACCAGCAGCAGCGGTGTCCGTGCATCGCACACCACCGAGTGCTGATTGAGAGGGCTTTGCCACAGTGTGTTCTCTCGCCATTCAGAGCGGAGTGGAGTTGTCCGTACCTCGATTCCGATCTTGCCATCTCCGATTTCCTTCACCTTGAAGGGCAGCAGAGGCAGCTCATCCTGCAGCTCCTTCTCATTCCACTTGCGACCGATCAGGCGCTTGACCTGGGCCACAGTGTTTCTGATGTTCCGTGCGTACTGTGGTGTGCGCCGTCAACGCACTGAGTCTGCAGGTGAACGTGGAGAGGGCACGAGCCTACCTGAACCATGGCCGCCTCGCCGATCGAGCGCTCCTGACCCACAAAGCCCACCATCGACCTGATGAACGGAGGGCACACGCAAATTTCAGCTTTCATCATCATCATCATCAAGTGTTGGTTGATCCACAGATTGCATGTCCGTAGCGGGCGACCGGGATGGAGGAGGCCGGCGGTGCAAACGTGGGGGGGGGACGTACGGCGTGTGGCGGTTGGAGCACTCATTCAACACGATGTCGATGCCGCCTCGCTGGGCAACGGCGATGATCGAATTTCTGTTGCCCAGATCTATGCCAATGACCGACATTCTTCTTTCGATGCACTCGGGGTGAAAGCAAAGCAAAGAACAAACAAAGTAGCAGACTGGCGAGCCAGATCTTGCCGGGCTTTTGTACAAACGACGGAAAAAAGGGAGTATACTAGCTTCTTGCCTTTTGCACCTCTCGCCAGCCAACCAGCGGAATTTCTCTGGCCCACCTCAGAAATGGCGACTGCCCGCGGAAGAGGAAGGGCAAGAAACTTCCTTCGCGTCAGGCCCAAAAAAAAAAAAAAGCCGACTGTGGGTGGTACGTGTATTGTGGCCCACCAGCGTGTGGCAAAAGCACTGTCGCCCCACCAACAGCAAGCAGCAGCAGCAGCAGCAGCAGCACCACGGTGTGGGTGTCTGCGCACAAGAGGCCAGGCCTCGCCTTACAGCTCAAGGAGGAGGCGGCGAGGGTCTTCAATGCTGTGCTTGATGTGCCTCAGGAAGGTCACCGCTTCCTTGCCGTCGATCAAACGGTGGTCGTATGTCAGCGCCAGGTACATGATGGGCCTGCACACGCACAGGAGCACGTGGTGGTGGCAGCGGCGGCGGGTGGTCAGCGACTAGGGTCAAGTCTGCAGGAGGGATACGGAAGAGAGGATTCACTCACCTGATGACGACCTGATCATTGACGACAACGGGGCGCTTGTTGATGGCGTGCATGCCAAGAATGGCGGACTGCGGTGGGTTGATAATGGGCGTGCCCATCAGCGAACCATAAACGCCACCGTTGGAGATCGTGAAAGTGCCTGAAATACCCCACCCAGCCCAGATGACCATGAGCACCACCTCGTCGACAGAACACGCTCACACGCCTTGCTGAGACACCGACGATGCGAGCAAGCACATAAAAAGGAAGGGGCGGTTTAGGATTTGGGGGGGGGGTTACCGCCGGCCATTTCCTCGAGCGTGATTTCGTCCTTGCGGGCCTTGACCGAGAGTTCGCTCAGCCGCTTTTCGACGTCAGCAAAGCTGAGGTGATCGCAGTCCCTCAGCACCGGCACCACGAGGCCCCTTGTTGTCCCAGAAGGAAGCGATATATGCGCGCGCAAGTTAGCAGCAGCGCACTGACTCAGTGACGACACACGGTGGCGCAGTGTCATGGGTGGGAAGTAGGGCGGGAGCAGGCGCGGAACCTGGGGGTGGCCACGGCAACAGATATGTCGACATAGTCCCGGTAGATGATCTCTCTGTTCGAGCCGTCGTACACTGTGCGTCACCCACCCACCCATCCCACACACGTGCGTGCGTGCGTGCAAGTGAGCAAGCGCGCAACGAGCGGAGGGAGGATGTGCGACACGAGGCGGGGTACCTGCGTTGACAGCGGGAATCTCCTTGAGAGCGGCGGCAGAGGCCTTGACGAAGGCGGACATGAAGCCCAGCTTCACGCCGTGCTTCTTTTGGAACTCCTCCTGAGTTGCGTTCTCGTCATCAGCACAGGTGAAGAGCAGTGGACGGTGTGTTTGTGGAGGGGGGAGGGGGACGGGCAAAGCAGAGAAAAGAAAGTCGCACCTTGAAATCTTCCCGCATGTTGATGAGGTTGAACATGTCGGCCTCCTGGAAGGTGGTGAGCATGGCGTAGGTGTTTTGTGCGTCCTTGAGGCGCTGCGCGATACGCTCCCGCATGCGGGTGACCTTGACCTGCAGGCAGTCAGGTAGGTTGGTAGGTGAGATATCACGCATGAGTGCGACCAGCTGGCCCAGCAAGGTCCTTTTGTTCCGCCAGCCAGCCAGCACCACTCTCACGGGGGGGGGGTCACTGGGGCGCCGGTTGTGGAAGCAAAGCCACCCGACGACGAGAGAACATTAGAAAGACGAGTGGGGGGTGGGTGGGAACGAACCTTGCGCTCACCTCCGGCGACGGGGGAAGCGGTCTTGGGGGCAGGTGCCTTCGAGGCCTCCGCCTTGGGGGCAGCCTTGCCCTCTGCACCAGCCGACCACCACCACCATCACCCACCACCACCATGTGACTATTACTATTTTTACTTTTATTCCCTCCCAACGGGGGAGAAGCGCTAAAGTGTGGGGCGAGGAGGATCGTAGGTACCGGTAGCAGCAGCAGGGGCAGCCGCGGTCTTGGGAGCTTCCGCTTTAGGAGCGGCAGCCTCTGGCTTCGGCGCTTGCTCGGTCTTCTTGGCCGGCTCTATGTGGACCCCGAGAGGAGGGGAGGGGCACGGAAATGAATCGACCGAACAGCCGCCGCTCACACAGCAGTGGATGATGATGATGATAATGATGGCCGACACACGACACATACGAGGGAGAGAGGGAAGGAGGAGGAGGAGAGGTACCCTCCTTGGGAACTTCGGCCTTCTTGGGCGCCTCAGCTCCGGCCTCGTAGGCGAAGAGGGGCGCACCCACGGACACGGTCGAGCCTTCCTCGGCAAAGTGCTCCTTGATCACTAATGTGCAAGCAAGTGAACGCCACCGCAGCATTGTGCTCAGCACACGCACTCATCAAGACGCGGCCCTGCACGGGGCGTTTTCTTTTGGGGCGGTCTACCTCCAGCCTCCTTGGCGCGAATCTCAACTGCCACCTTGTCCGTTTCGATCACTGCAACCAAGTCGTCCACGGCAACGTGTTCGCCAACCCCTGAGTAGGAATGCCATCGGAGCATTGATTAGGAGGTCCTTCCGATCTACACGGGATCGGAGAATACGCACCCTTGGACCAATTCTTGAGCTCGCCCTCTGTAATCGAGTCACCCATGGGGGGCACCGCTTGGGTCTTGACCTCTGCCCAGAGTGTGCATATATGGCAGGCTGTACAATACGAGGGGGAGGGAGGAGAAGATTTGCCCGAGTTTGCACGCACCGGCGGTTGCGTAGAATCGCTTAGGAAGAACATTGAGGCCACTACGCGAATGCGACGTAAGGCTGGCAACAATTCGCCCCGTTCCGTTGTGGGAAGAAGATGAGCACACTCCCCGCAGGCCAGACAACGTGGCCGCTGCTCCCCGATTCGACTAAAGGATCGACCGAGGTGCTCAGCATCATCTCCAGGACATCGACAACAAAAAAACACAACAATTGGTTTGTTTCCTTACCTGGACCACGAGGCACGCGCTGAAAAGAGGGCGACGACCCATTGAAGCGGTTCTCTTCATCATCTTGGGGATGCAGGAAAAAACGCAAATAATAAATTTTAAAAAAAATCCGTACTTTATCCACGCCCCAAATTCCGCAAAATTGCATTTTGCGGAATTTCAGCTGTATTACTTGCGCTTCCGCTACGGGCAAGAAGCTGCGGCACAGCTGCACATCGATGGCTAGTGGGCAAAGTGGGCCTTGATCTCGGCAAGGTTGTCCTGGAGGGCCTTGTGCTGGAACTTGATAAAGTCAGGCGTCACGTCGGCACTGAACTCAGCCGACCTGGCACAGGCACAACAGCGCAGTACCCACTAACGTCAGCACGCGTGCGAGCGACACAGCAGAATAGCCAAAATTGGTCCAGGAGGAGGAGGGTTCTGGTGCACCCACCAGGTGAGAAGGGTCGAGTTGTTCTCCGTGATGCGGAGGGCATGGAGGGTGGAGATAGTGGCCGCCACTTCGGTGTCAGGCTCGGCGAGGGTGGTTTCCCACACAGCACGGCGCTCGATGTCGGAAAGCTCCAGCAGCACCTGCGTGGCAGATTCACCACTCTTCCACTTGAGCTTCCTGGCCCCGCCAACGGCGGTGCCCTGCGCACCGTCCAGCAGCTGGTGGCGGGTGTCGTTACAAGTGGGCGACAAGTAGTGAGTTAAATGGACAAATCAGCCAACTGTTTGCTTGTACGCGTTGGATGGTTGGCGGGGGGGGGGCGTACCTCGGCGCTCTCGACGGTGGAGATGAGGCGTGCGGGGAAGGTGAAGTCCCTGAGCTCCTTCCACACGTTCTCGACGGGTGCGTTCACGACAGCGCTGACCTTGACTTGGGTGGACATGGTTGGTGGTGGTGTTGCGTTGGGGTGCTGTTTGCTTGTGGGCCTGGAAGAAGAACAAGCGACTGTGCCCCGCCCCGCGGCCTCCCAAAAAACAAAAAGGGGGGCACTGCTGCTCCACGTCACTCGCGGCTGGCCGCCCCAAAAACTGCACCACAGCCCAGAAGGGAAAGGACCTCTACCGCGGTCCACACGTACTTTCTGGTGGGCACACACCAGCTATCGGCCAAGCCTCCCCCCCCCCCACCGCCATCGTCGCCAGCACCCGGACCAGGATAGTTGTCCGTGTGATTGTATTTGTATGTGTGTATGTATGTACAAAGCTGGGCTCAGTTTACGACCACTGCACGGCGGTGGGCAGGGATGGGGAGGTGGGTGAGGGGGAAGAAGAGGAAGAGGGTGCTGCGCCAGCGGCCAGACGGTCCAGCAGCTCACGTGCTCGGGTGGCGTAGTCTTCGGCCTCGAGCCTGGTCTTGCCCACGCACACGATACCCACCTAGCAAGCAAGCAAGCAAGCAAGCAAGCAAGCAAGCAAGCAAGCAAGCAAGTCAGAGCTAGGCTCGCCAGATGCACCATGGGAGCAAGGCACATTGTCCGCGGGAGAGGGGTGGGTGGGAGATGTCATCATCGTCAATCGTCAATCATCATGATCAGTACCTTGCCCATCTCCTGCGCTGGTGAGAGGAAGTGGAACATGACGCCCGTGCGCCTCTTCGGGCAAAAGTGTAGGGCATCGGCCGCCACTCTGTCGCAGGATTGATTGAAATCAAGATCAGCGTGCGGCCGATGCGATGGTACCTTGCGTGCACCCAGCAGCAGCTGCAGCAGCGGGGGAAGAAGAGGGGAAGCAGAGAGCAGGAGGGCGTACGCTTCCGTGAGGGAGGCCGGAGACAGAGCGGTGTAGCGAGGGCTCACCACGTTGTCGTTCGCCACGTAGTACCGCAGATCACCGTCGGCGGTGCGCAGCATTCCCGTCGTGCCATCGTACTCACCTGTTACCCCCGCACCACCACGCAATGTTATAGCGGGCGACCGGATTGTGTCGTATATGTGTGTCGTGTGTGTGTGTGTGTGTGTGTCGTGTGTGTGTCGTGTGTGCCTTGGGTAAGGATTTTGGAGAGCATCATCGGGTGCGTGGTGCCTGACTGACGCAGGTTGATCTCCACGGCAAACAGCTCCCACTCCTGGCCGGTGTCTTCGCTGGAATGATCAGAGAGGGGCGAAACGGTAGGTGGGAGGTGAGATCAGCGCCACTACGCTTGACTTGCGCGAGGACATCCCACATCGCCCCTCCCCCGCGGTTCGAAGTGGGAGCAAGCTTGCTCTGCGAAGAGGGGACGCGTGGTGGTGGTGGTGGTGGTGGTGGTGGTGGTGGTGGTGGTGGTGGTGGTACCAGGAGTCTGCCTGGGCGAGGCCGGCGGTGGAGGCAGTGCACGAGGCCAGGAAGTCCACGCCAAAGTGGCCCATGGCGCCCTTGTCGGCCAGCACGCGACCCACTCGCAGGGTGTATTCCTGGATCTTGTTGCGGTACGCGTGGTTGCACGGGAATTTGCAGCCTGCGCGTGTTTGGTGGTGGGCAAACAATTAATTGTGCCGGACCCACGCGGTAAGTCGTCAACGGACCAAGCCCAGAGGACAGCGAGTGTGGTGGTGGTGGCTGGTGGCTGGCGGTGGTGGCTGGCGGAGTCGCTTACCTTGGTAGACATGGCCGTCCAACACCTGCTCGTGAGTGGACAGGATCGTGATCTCGCCCCGGGTGTCGATCACAGCCTGGCACGAGGGCGCAAATTGGTGGTCGATGTAGAGCTCCACGTGTGCGCCCTGCAACCCCCAATGTCACGCGTGCGACACCAACCCCACCCATCGTCAGCCCAACAACGCGCGCGCGAGGCGTCGACAACCAAACGGACGGCAAACAAAGGCGTGGAGCGCGACTGGGAGGAGGCGCACCTGCGTCGGGATCTCGGTGCGGTAGGTGGACCAGGCCTCGTCACGACCCTGGAAGGCCATGCGCGGAAACTCGTTGGCGATCTCCTCCGTGATACGCTCTACGACACGGCACACGGCACACGGCACACGGCACACGGCACACGGCACACGGCACACGGCACACAGGCGGGAGGGACTCATGAGTCTCATCGCGTGGTGTTCCAGGCGAGGCCCGTTTTCCTGGGACGGCGGCGGATGGGGGGGGGTACCGCGATGGGAGAGGAGCCAAGCGGCAAAGGCCGGGCGATCAGCAGCAGACCGGGCAAGTTGGTTGCGCGCCTCGAGGAGGTCGCACCGACGGAGCACGGAGCGCATGTCCAGGAGAGCGTTGCCGCCACCGCTGGCCGAGTCGTCGAGCTTGACCACGAACCGGTCCAGGTGCTGCTCCTCCTCCGCTTCGCCTTTCTCCTCCGCCCCCGCCTTCTGCTGGTGGCCGCCTCCCCTCCGCGCCGGCCCCACGAGGGCGCCACGGCGCCACAGGTCGAACACGGAGGCGGCGAGCTCCTCTTCAGTCCGCACCAGCGGCGTGCCAAAGGGGTAGGGCACCTGAAGAAACGACCACCGCACAGCGCACACCACACCGCACGACACAACCAATATCAGGCCGCGTTTGCTCGCTCGCTCGCTCGCTCGTCAGAGAGGGTGTGCGAACGTGAGCTTCGTGGAAGATGGCGCAGGCGCCCGCCTTGGTGCCGTGGGCGTAGTGGCGGGGGTCGTGGGCGAGGATGGTGACGCCCAGGAGCTGCGCCACCTGGTGCTCGGCGGGCGTGGACACGAACGGGATGAGGCAGCACCGGCCCGGGTTCGTCACGCTGTCCCGCACTCGGCTCTGCTCCGGCGGGAGGAGGCCCGCGAAGTGTGTGTCGTGTGTCGTGTGTGTGGCTCGACGTCAGCGGATTGATTTGCGGGCTTAATGGGAGGAGGAGGTAGGTGGTGGGTGGCTGGGTGGGTAGTGGTGGCTGGTGGTGGGTGGCCCGTACGAGGAAGGCCGGGTTGGCCTGGATTTTGTCGGAGAGCGGGCGAACGGCCGGGTCGTCGAGGGCGAGGGTCACGAATCGTTCCTGCACGTCGGCGAAGGGCACGAACTCCTGCAGCAGCACCTCCCAGTAGTACCGCACCACCGCCGGATCTGCACCCGCACGCATTGTTGGACCGCCACCAGCCATCAGCCAGCCAGCCAGCCACCACAGGAATGGTGTGGATTCCACCGCCCGTCATTGTCCACGTGTGCGGCGGCGGCGGCGAAAACAAGAGCTGATGACGATGTCTAGAGAAGGGGTGCGCACCGACGGGAATGGAGGATAGGAAGATGACGCGCTTGATGGTCGGGTCGCGCAGGAGGGCGATGTGGTAGAGCTGGCGGTGCTCGTAGAAGCTGATGCCCTTGGTGCGGGCCAGGGCCTGCGCGTTCTCGGTGATGGAGGGCAGCACCACCACCTCCTCATACGCCCGCTCTGGTATTTTGCGTGCGCGCCAGGTCAGCCATAGCGGGGGGGGGGCAATGGGGAGAGGAGGAGAGGGAGAGCTGGCTGGTCTCCCAATAATAATGGGGTGGAGGTGGGTTCGTACCGGGCCAGAAACAGACGCCCTTCAACCTTTTGGGGACAGCAGGAGGAACCACAAAATGTCAGGAAGATTGATGACGCAAAAGGGGGGGGGGGACAGAGTCAGCACCCGTGTGCCCTCCTCACCACCAATGGCGCCCTGGCCATGCGCCCACAGGCCGCATGATACAAGAGGAGAGCCGGCACACACCACCGCGACGTACCGTTGGGCGCGGTAGCCTGCAGTCTCAACAGCGTGGATGTCGACATTATTGGGGCAGGCCTGGCCGTTGGCGACCCCGTCAGCCACGTGTGGCTCGGCGGCCGCGGTGTGGGAAGGGAGCCTAGTGACCTCGCTGTTCATCGGAGAGGGGAGCTGGAGGTGCGGTTGGTTGGCTTTGGGAAATGGGAAAGTAGTTGTACTACTGCGTAAGCAGGTGCCTAATGGTTCGATGTGAGGTGTGTTGGGACGAGCGGTGTTGTTGCTATCAACAAGAGAGACAAACTAGAGTGATGAGGTCTCCAGGTGCGAACCGCGCCGGGCTTTTTGTTCTCCACTTGTGAGAGCAGGACCGGCAAACCGGGGACATTGGGGCGCGTTCGCCCAGAAAATCCGTTCGTTCGTTTGTCGTGGTGCCGTGTGTCCGGTGCGCACCGGCCCCAGCTCCGCCCCGCAAGAGTCAATCTGCCTCCGCGACACGCTGGATGTTTCTGTGGATCCCGCGAGGCAGACCAACCGCCAGCTACGGCTCGCTGCAATCCGCATCCACAACCATCGCCCCCATGCAGAGACCAAGCTCGCCGCCCGCCTGGATTTATCCTCCCATGAACGAGAAACTGCCCCCCCCCGGCCGCCAATCCTATGATTTTGACAAAAGATAAAGGAAATTTTTAAAAAAATTCCTTGCTATCGCCAGGATTGATTCTAAGGTTGTGCAATCAACAGTAATGTCTCGCTCGCTCATCACCCGCAGCCTTCCCCTTCGTTCCTCTTCCCATGGTGCCCTTGGTGGTGCGAGGCCTGTATTCTCCGAGGTGCCCCTGAAGGAGGTGCCGTCGTACGTGAGGCTCCATGTGCTCGGAAACACCAGGCGCCTCACCAAGGAGTTCGTCCAGTGGTACTGGAGGACTTACTTCCACGCTGGCAAGGCCGACCCCATCATTCACGGCATCCTCCTCGTCTCCGGCGTTGGCTATCTCCTCCACAACCACTGTACGACCCCCCCCCCAAGGCCCATTGTTTTTGCAATCTTTTCCTCTGGATGAGGCCGGTCTCACCGTACGAGTTACCATCTTGACACACAGGGCACGGATCGCACCCATAAGCGCTCAGCCCCGCGCACACGAGCATTTCTTTGCCGCGTAAGAAGGATGTCGAGCCCCAACGTACAGTTATGGGGAGGAACTGCCTTCCTCCTCCCTAATAAACAAGTCCCCTTTCCTCCTGCTGGCCCACGCGGCCGCAAGTTGTCGGTTCCAGACCGGGGGGGGGTAGAAGTACTCTCGAGAAGTAGTCAGAAGAAGCGCAGCACCCAAAGCAGCGCGAGCCCAGCCCATGCTGCCCGCAAGAGAGGTGGCGGCCGTGGTGCCCGAAAACGATGCGGTCTACCGGCGGCAGCTGGTGGAGGAGATGAGGATGTGCGTGAAGGGGCTCGTGGCTCTGTGCCACCAAAGACAGGGCGACTGCTTGGACGACTCCACGGGCCAGGTGGACACGCTGTGCCTCACCATGGAGAAGATCCTGCGCCACGGCCTCAAAGGTCCTCCCCCCACACTACAACACCACAATACTGCGGGGAGGCGGTGGTTGTGGCTGACAGTTGGGCAGACAAGAGCAACTTTTTCACGAAGAAGGACTACTTCAACTTCGTAGAGCAGCTGGCCAGGTCGTACTACCCCCCCCCCCCGCCGCCAAGAGCAGCAGCACCGACGACGTTGGCGCCAAGTAGGAGGCGGAGGCCTGACGGTGGTGTGTGGCGGCGGCGGCGGCGGCGTGTAGGCACGAATGGGCCAGGAACGCCGTGCAGTCCGTGGCGCAGCTGTCCCACGTCAAGACTCTTCAGGGTTCGTGCCAGGGATCCCCACGTCCTGCCCCAGCCATTGCTCATCACGTGCCAGGGCCGCGTGCATGTGTGGGTGCAGGGCGAGGGAGGGCGTGGGTGTGTTTCGCGCTGGTCGAGAAGAAGCTGGAGGAGTACCTACGCGCCCTCACCGACATGCCCGACAACGACATGCCCTCCTGGTACGCCCCCCCCCGCCAGAGGGCTTAGGTGGGTCCCACCCGCGTGGCGGCCTTCACACTTTTTTATCTTTTTTTATTTATTTATTTATTAATATATCTCGACACCCTCCCTCATTGTCCCGTCGTCGCTGTGGTGGGCCACTGGTGGCTGCCGGGCAGGTACGAGAGCTATGGGCTGCTGCGGGTGCGCGAGGAAATGGACATGCTGCTCGCCACCCTCGCTCCCCTCAGCCTCGTCGACTTTGGTTCGCTGCCATCCCCCCCCCTCCATGGCAACGCCAAACGCAAGAGCTCCCTCGAGAGAGCTTTTCGACTTACCGTTTGTTCTCGCGCTCTGTGCGTTGGGACGCGTGTGTCGCGTGTGTCGTGTGTGCGTGCATGGTGCATGGGTGGTGGTGGTGGTGGTGTCCCCCAGACATCTGCCTAAAGGACATCGACTTTGACAACATCCTGCAGCAGAGAGCATGTACGCCGTTGGCCCCCTCTGCCTGCGTCGTGACCATATATTGGCTGACGAGCAGGGCCTTTGCCTTGGCCTTTCCTCCCCTCTCCTTCCATCTTTCTTTTCTTTTCTTTTCTTTTCTTTCTATCTATCCAGTGACGGAGGCGGCGCACGGCATCTCCGGAGCCCGGTCCCCGCCCTCGGTGACTCCCCGCACGAAGCAGCAGTACAAGCGCCACACGGCCTACTCCTTCGAATGCGGCCAGGAGGGCGCACACCACCCCCCGCACCATCGCGAGGAGAACGGGGAGCCCATGAGCCCCCACGACCCCGACGATGACCTCGTGCCCACCACCACCACCACCATCACCACCACCAGCAGCAGGTAGTACCTCCCCCACTCGGGGCACACGGCGATTTCCTGCAGCTGCTGGCTGGTGGTGGCTGGTGTGCTGCTGCTGCTGCTGACGGGTGACGGTTGCTATCCCTGCTTGGGGGGTGGTGGGGGGGGGGGCAGGGAGGAGAAGCGGAGGACGTGGTCGCTCGTGTCGTTGCCGAGGTACCGGCCGCAGGAGCCCACCAAGCACGTCGGTGGTGGGCCGGTGTCGCCCCTCTCCCAGCAGAGGCCGCCCTCTCCGTGGCGCCCGGCCCACTGGACCCAAGCCACTCTTCCTCCTCCCCACGCCTCCTCCTCCTCCTCGTTGTCGCCACCGTCGTCGCCGTCTGGGGAGGCGCCGCCTCAACTGCCGGTCTCCTTCTCCCCGCTTCCTACGCTCGAGGAGCTGCGCGCTGAAGCCGTCGGATTTGGGGAGCGGCGAGGCTGGGGGCGCCACCAGCAGCCACAAAACCTCCTCCTCGCTCTCGGTACCCCCATTTCTGTGTGTGGTGAGTGTGTGTCGTGTGTGTCGTGTGTGTCGTGTGTGTCGTGTGTGTCGTGTGTGTCGTGTGTGTTGTGTGTGTGTGTTGTGTCGTGTGTCGTGTGTGTGTCGTGCGTGTAATGATCCTCCATCTCCTCCACATGTGCGGGCTCGCTATGACATATTCGTTGTGTCATGTATGGGTCATGGGTGTTGTGCGCGCGCGCGCGCGCGCGTGTGTGTGTGTGTGTGTGTGTGTGTGTGTGTGTGTGGTGCGCGATGCCAAGTCGGGGAGGTGGGCGAAGTGAGTGAATGCTTCCAATGGAAGACCTGTGGAGAGGCGGCTCCCGGCTTGCCCGGTTTCACGTCGCTGGAGAAGGAACACCTGGCCGAGGAGCTCAGCGACGTGCTCATCTACCTGCTCCTCTTGAGGTAATATTGCGCACTTGCCCTCCTCCCCAAATCCCCTCCACAACAACACCAGCAGCCAACTCTTCTAGCTGGTGTAAATACGCTGCTTCGGCGAAGCTTTTCGTTCCAGTTCCGCTGATGACAGTGGTGTGTGTCGTGTGTGTCGTGTGTGTCGTGTGTCGTGTGTGTGTTTCCTGCAGCGACAAATGTGGGGTGGACCTGCCAACAGCGGCGGCCAAGAAGCTCAGAAGCAACGCACTCAAGTACCCCCTGCCCGCGGAACAGCTGCCCTTCTCGGCTCAGCCACCTGAGCAGTCCACGCCGCCCACGCCGGAGCAGAGGCTCCCTCACCACGTGGTGGTGGTGGAAGCACCGAGGAAGGAGGAGGCGGAGGCGGAGGAGTGCTGTCCGAAGGAGGAGGAGGAGGAGGAGGAGGAGGAGGAATGCCACACCACCACCAACGCGCCAGCGTGCCCCCACACTGGTGCTGGTGTCGAGGAGCAGGCCGAAGAGATCGAGGGCTGATCAGAGACCACCCACCAGCCCTTATCTTTTATAGCGGGACAGTACCGATGATGTGTACGTGGTCCACCTCCACGGGAGGGAGACGAGAGGCTGTCGCATGCGTGCTGCCGCATTGGGGTATTGTCGTTACTAAAAAGACACAAACACGATGGTCACACGTGACCTACGGTGGTGTGTGGTTGGTTGGGCGCCGTGGCCGAGACCTCCTTCGTGTCCGTGTCGTGGTGGTCGTGGTCGGTGGTGGCCCACTCGAGGTGTGTGTCGAAGTAGCGCGCACTGTTGAGTTCGGGATAGCCCATGACGCCGTACACGCCGATGGTCACCACCGTCAAGAAGGCGTCCCACAGTGTGAGCTTCATGTACTCGACCAGCTCCCCCGTGAACCGGACTGCCCGCCCATCGATCCGCAGGCTACCCTCCCCCGCCCAAATGTGAGTGTACCCAGCCAGCCAGCCCAAACCACCGCCACCACCAACTTGAGAACGCATTCCTGGAGGCCTGGTGGTGCGTACGCGCTAGCCTCCCTCTGGTAGGCCCGGAAATCCTGTACGTGCCACAACCAGCCACGCGTGGTTGGTCGGTTGGTTGCAAGTGGCTACTGCTCGCACGAGAACCCAACACGGCAGCGCGGGAGAGCGTACCAGCCACGGCTTGAGGAAGAGGAGTGCGAGGCCTGCCGTGAGGGGCGTGCTATCACGTACGGGCCATGACGATGACGACGACGACGATGACGAACGACCAGGCGGCGGCCATGGCGGCGGCAGGAGGAGCAGGCGCAGGCGGATGATGGGAATGGGAGACCGCTTCAGGTCAGCACACCACCGCGGACCGCCAGCCAGCCGGCAGCGGCCAGCGTGGAGGGAGGGGGTGGGGGCCGAGGTAGGCGTACAGGAGGCCCACAAGAAAAGCTTCCCAGTCCTGCGCCACATGCCCGCCCGCCCGCCCGCCCGCCAAGCCAACCGACGCCGCGAGTGCCGGTGTGAGGGATGCAACACAATGCTTAATCAGCAGCCAGCAGGCAGCAGCGGCGGCGGCGTACCCTTTGGATGAACGCCTGCTTGAGGACGAAACGCGTCTCTGCACCCAACACACCGCACACGCGACACCGACACAACGGTCACAACGCCGAAGTAGCAGCCAACACCAAGCGAGGGCGGAGGTCAGAGAAAAAAAAATAAAGAAAAAGGAAAAATACCGGCGGCGGCGCTGCTGACGGGCGTGGTCACAGCCGGCGAGTAGAGGCGCACCACCGCCGGTCCCGAGGAAGAAGAGGCGGCGGCGGTCGACGCGTCAGTTGCTTGGGAGGCCGCAGCGGCCTTGACCGCGTGGCGCCCCCCGGGCAGCACCAGGAGGAGGCCACATGCGGCCCCCGCCCACACACCCCGGCGGCGGTGCACCGTCGCCAAAGACGACCACGACGCCGACGAGCCAGGGCCGCGCCACCAGCCCCGCGACACCGAGACCAGCGCTGATGACGCGGGAGCGCCAGCTCTTCCCATCGGAACGGCCGTTATGGCAGTCGTAGTGGCAGTCGAAGAATACGGGAGGGTGTGGGCCACCACCCCGTTGGGGACCCACCGTTGCCTCCACGCCGCCACGCCTCCTCCCCTCGTCGTGGTGGCCACGCGCCGCATAGTTCTGTTCTGTGTTAGGTTAACCTTCTTTCGGTTTGCAAATAAATGATCTTTTTCCACGTCAGCAACGAGGGGCCTTCACGGAAAAGGAAAGAGGCGGGAAAGAGCTTTTCCTTCTTGCCTTTCCACGTGGACCAGTGGGGAGAATGCGCGCGCCCGTGCAGGTGCTGCGCGCGACTGCTGCTGCTACTGCTTGTGGAAGGAGATGACGTAGCAGGGCATCACCTGACCTTCATCAAACAGAACCCATTCCTTGCCTGCGGACCGCAGCAGCCATGACGCGCGCACACGGGGCCACCGTGTAAAGAAAATAAAAATACCCACCACACAAATCAGCAAGGCACCCAGCCGTGTGTGCGTGCGTGCATGGACCGTACCGAGGTTGCCACTGAGGCTCCACCAGGGGGAGATGTGAGAGTCATACCCTGCAGCCCCCCACCCCACCCCACCACCACCACCACCACCACCACCACCACCACCACCACCACCACCACCACCACCACCACCACCACCACCACCACCACCACCACCACCACCACCACCACCACCACCACCACCACCACCACCACCACCACCAATTGAAGGCACATCATCCATGAAGGCACACCACCACCACCATCAGCCAGCCAGCCAGCCAGCCAGCCCAAAGAAAGGAGCCAGATGCGTGCGGAAGGGGGGGGGGTACCCTTCTGGCAGGCCTGTCCGTCCATGCGCTGCTTGCAGTGGTAGGGGCGGCCCAGGAGGGCGGCACACACGATCAGCTTGGAATTCCACGCATACGACGACGACACCTGGCCACATGCACACCAGCCAGCCAGCCAGCCAGCCAGCCAACCAGCCGCCGCCACCAGCCACCACCAAGGAGCGGTCAGCATCGACTGTCCAGAGCGCGCCTCCCTCCGGCGTCGCCAGCAACGAAGGCGATTAGGCGCGCAACGAGGAAGAGGAGGAGGAGAGGGAATGCGGCCAAGACGAGAGGGGCTTGGGGGGGGGGTACCATGGGGTCTGGGCTCAGGTAAATGCCGCCTCCCCACCACCCGGTATCCGCTGTCGCCACCAGCCACCAGCCACCAGCCACCAGCAGCAGCCACCATTATTATTATTCACATCAGCCATCCATTCCTACGCACCACCGCCGCAGGCAGGCCAGCGTGACGCGGGGGGGGGTTGGGGTGGAGTACATTTATGGCCCACGTCGTTGCCCCTGCCTGGAACCAGCAGACCCTACAACGCTCCGCCACCACAGCCCCCCCCCCCACATAATAGTGAGCTCTCTTGGAGCCATACGGCGGCGGCGGCGGCGCTGGATATCGTGTGTGCTGTGTGCGTGTCGTGTGCGTGCGTGCGCGGTGTGTGTTTGTGTGTGTGGCGTGGCGTGGCGTGGCGTGGCGT